CAGAAAAGCAGAGAGCATAATGGGTGTTTTTGGACTATGCAAACGCCCTGGATCTACCAAGGCCGTGTTCTTTGCTCCTTGGCACAGATTTGCAGACAAGAGGTTATGATGTAGCAACTCAGAGATTGCAGCAAGTTTTGGATATGATCCTAGATTCCTTTTCACATTATCTCTTCACAGTTTATGCTTAAAGAAGAGTAAAAGAGCTCATGAATCCACATGAATTATATCTTTATATGTATATTATGCCATTACAACAGTACGTATCTGTATGTATCCATATGCCACTATATCTGAATGAAAGTATTCTTAGAGCTAAAAAGTAAGAGAATATCAATAAATAGGCATACTGTCTTGTATTTATAGGTATCACAACAATTGTCTGCCTCTTCCAGACTTACTGGCAGTATAGCTTAGACATCTACACTCATGCATCTGAAGCAACTCCAGTAATACAAGAACACCCAGGGCTTGGAACTGTGAGATGAGGTTAAATCAATCTTTGTGGTGTTACACTGGATTAACATTGATGTAAATCTGAAAGTAGGCTTCGGTAAACACATGGGACAGTCCAGAAAGGGAGGAACCAGGTGTAGCAATCATAGTTCATGAAGAAATGAGCAGCAGTGTTTCGCCTACATTTCCATTTATTTATGCTTCATGGTGCCAATAGAGTTTAAGAACATTTTATAAATGATCTGTGCATATTAAAACTCTTGACCAAAGAGCATTCATCTTAGCTCAAAATATCAGCACAGTGTGTACAGTCTTGATTGTCACAGTATTCATGAGTCAAGGCTATTTCCTTTTTTTTCTTTCTGTTGTGGTATTTTTTTAAAAGCTGTTGAATTTCTAAATCTCATTCTTTTTACGGAGATATTATATCCTGAAAATTCAACATTTGCATTTTCTTTCCTGAGAAACGTTCCTGTTGTTTGCAGTGCGTAAGTAAGCAGTGGTAGCAGAGGAATAATGCTTAATTAGGCATTTCCCTCTTGTTCCTTTTCTGTGTCACTGGGTTGTTCCACTTCAGTGAGGGACTGTGATGGCATCAGTTTATCATCTGTACACGCAGTATTACAGCAGACAGCAGTGAGCTTCCTGCCTCCTGAAACTAACTCAACTGAAAATCGACATCAGGTGTCTGGTGAGGTTGTGTTGGATTATCCATACCTCTTCTCCTATCACAGAACTCAGCTTTACGCCACGCTTTGTCTGATGCTTGCACCAGTGCTCACACCAGCGTAGTAAGCATGCAAGAGACTTCAGCAGTGGTTAATATGTGGCAGTGCTTTGAATCTCAGTGTTCAGGAATTCATCCTGACTTATCTTCAAGAGCCTGAAAGTAGTGCACAGAGAATGGTATGATACCTTCACTGCAATAGCTTTGTGTTTGAGACCCTTGATGTGCAGAGTAGTGATGATGACAGGAACCCAGCTCACCTTTACTTGTATTTGAAGTCAAGAGCCTCCTGCATTTCCAACACTGCTTTAATCTTTCAAAAGCTGCATGACCCTCTCCCTCCTTTGCATGACTGTCATCAGTTCTGATGCTCGAGGCAGTTTGCAGCCAAGAAAGCAGGATTCACCTGCAAGACATCAGCTCTGTATTGCAAGGCATGCTACTAGCTCAGCACACTTCTGCCTGGAAAAAGACAGCACTATTTGCTTTATGCTTGCAATAAGGCTGAACCATGGCAGCACGATCAAAGCCATCAGTAATATTCTGCACACCCAGTGTTCTGTCAGCAGCAAAGGGCAGATTGCCTGGGAGGACCTCTCTGACTTTTTATTTAGCCTGGCATCTCTCCAGTTTAGCAATTCTGCCACCCATAAAATCAGTAAAGCAGCTCCCTTTGCTGCTGCTTCCAGATGCAGCAAGAAGCACTGCTGCATAAAAGACAGTAAACAAGAGCTGTGCTAGGACATAGCCTTGCTTAGGGCTGTTTTTGACAGTCACAGGTTTTGACATCTTGTCATCACTGAGAACCTTTGCATTACCCCACACTATCATGAAATAAGCAAAATATGTTCCCAAACTAGTTTGGACATCCAAATTTATGCAGCTGCCTCTGGGCTGCTCGTGGCTGACAGCACTGGAGTCTGTGGTGAGCTCCACAAATGCCAGGTACAGACCTTGACTCTGCTCTTCTCGAACTAGGACAAGGCTGAAAACCAGGCTGTTCCTACAAAAGCCTTTTCAACAACCAGCAAACCCACTGATGTCATTTTGACATGGATTTTTCTCAACAGTTGAGAAAATTGATACACCTTGGTCTCACTTACAGGAATGTTTTTACCTTCTTTGCAAAAGGCACTAAGAATCTGTATACTTGAACCCTTGGGACACCATCTGTTCATTAGGTTATTATCATAAATTCTGGTTTTCTAACTGTTTGGTGACACTGTATTTACATACAGTGGTGAGGTGTGAGCAGAGACTTTGCCTTGCTCTATGGCAGCTGCTCAAAACAGCCGTAAGGATCTCTGCTCCCTGCTCCTCAATGGGCAGCCCAGCAGAGGGCTGGACCTTTTTTTAGCTCTGGCAGAACTGAAGAATGCAGAGCTTAAGAAATTTGAGTAAGCAATCTGCAATTTCCCTTCAGTCAACTAACAGGGTTAAAACTGTATTAAGCCACAGCCTTTGCAAAGATTTTTGTAATTTTTGTGTGAGGCAACTTTTGAAACTCTTTCCCTCACCTTTATCTTTCAGTACTCAAGCCAAAGGCTTTGCTAGTGCTTTCTGCCCGGTTTTGTGGTAACCTTTTTGCTTGCTTGCCAAGTTTTATTTTTACCTGAAGCTGGTGCAGCACCTGCATGTCAGCAGCAATCTGATGGATGTGTTCTCATTAACCCAGTCCACAGATCTGAATTCAGCAAAACTGATGAGTTTCGTTTAAGAGCTCAGCAGTCTCTCTTTGAGACTCTCCACTGTGTGCTGACATCTCTTTGTTTCTACAGTTAAGCTGTAGCAGCACCAAAGTTGGTTTCTGGCTGCCCTGCCTTGTCTTCGTACCCACAGGGCCTCCTTTGAATTTGGTTTAGTACTGGTGAAGCAGCTCTTGAAGGGTGACCACTGTCTGACTTGTTTCTGCCTAAAGATTAGGTTTGCCCTCAGTGCCTTCCCTATCTTGAGCACAAAAATGATGTATTCCTAAAAATTTTGCAAGCATTTTCAACATACCAGTAAGACATCATCCTGAATAGCCTTCCAAATTACTAGTTATATGTGGTGTGTCTAGTTAGAATCATAGAATCACCAAAGTTAGAGAAGACCTCCAAGATCATCCAGTCCAACCTTCCACCTACCACCATTATCTCCCCACTAAACCATGCCCCTCAGTACAACATCCTAACGTTCCTTGAACACCTCCAGGAATGGCGACTCCGCCGTCTCCCTGGGCAGCCTATTCCCAGTGCCTCACCACTCCTTTGGAGAATGAATTTTTCCTAATATCCAAAGTAAACCTCCCTTGACTCTACTTGAGGCCATTCCCTCTCATCCTATCATGTTATGTGGGAGAAGAGATCAACCCCCATCTCGCCACAACCTCCTTTCAGGCAGGTACAGAGAGCCATAAGGTCTGCCCTGAGCCTCCTCTTGTCCAGACTGAACAATCCCAGCTCCCTCAGTCGCTCTCCCTAAGGCTTGTGCTCCAGACCCCTCACAGCTCTGTTGCTCTGGGCACACTGCAGGGCCTTCATGACTTTCTTGTATTGAGGGGCCCAAAACTGAGCACAGTATAGGAAGTGACTCGGCCAGATCAGCCTCCACTCGAGTGCTCTAGAATCATTCTGAACTTTATTCTCAAGTGTAAATCCATTCTAACTACTTTGGCAACACTGATATCAGTGAATTTACTTCAGGTTAACATTGGCATGTGAGAGACCAAAATCTGGGTTAGAGTTTCAGCTTTTTAAAAGTCAGTTCAGCAACAGATTGTGTTTCATTAATGATTCAAACATGATACATTTGGAAATAGTCTGTTGCGAAATCCAAATTTGTTTGGGCACTGCTTCTATATCTTATCTATTAAAATATAAGCTGATATGTGATAGCAGGCATAAAGGGCATACCTTCCCCATATGACATACTTAGGACTCCCAAAGTTTCAGTAGAAACTACTCCCTTTACCCCTAGTCATATAAGCGCTCCCTTTCGTCTTCTCATCAGGCTGGCCGACATCCATCTACCGTGAGCAGAGAAAGACCGCCATCCCAGGATACTGCTCACCTGACTTACCATTGTGCTCCAGATGGAATGAATCCCCCTGGACATGCTTACATGCTTACTCTTCTTTCCTTGTTTCGTTTGTCTCTCCAAACTGTTCAATCAGTGTAAAACTCATCCCACCACCCTGCTCTGCTCTCTCTCTCCACTAGTATTTTTCCCTTGACATAAACCCAGCACCTGGTTACGTGCACACAGATCATTCCTGATTTCAGCCACTACCTCACATGGGAGATTACTCCCAGGCCTCTCCTGCCTGCCCTGAAGGCAATGAGCTTGCAGGAAATGGCACAGAGCAAGAGCAGCAGGGTTTCTGGCAATGCTGCAGCTGCTTGGCCAGCCCACAGGGTGCTGTTGGGGATTTCTGAGCTTGAGTTGGTCCCCGAAGTCTCCTTGTCTAATGAATGCAGGGTAAAAGCCAATCTTTAGAGAAGACTGGTTATCTGTTTTAGGTGCATTTCAGACGAATTACTGCCTAAAAGTAGCTGTTTTCCCACCCATATAGGGTGTCTAGGTGGTGTTCTATCAGCAAAGAGCATGATAAATTAAAACCACCACTTGCTTCAAAAAGGGACTACTTGAAAGACACCTGTTGTTACTGAACAGTTAAGGCTGTTCAAACTGAGCTGACAATGACTGAGGGGAAGTACTCAACTTGCCCCTCATTTTCTGACTCTTCCTTAACCCTCTGCGTACACACGTTGCCGCTGAACAGCCCGGGGTCCGACCCAGCACAGCCACACTTGGTCTGCAGCTCTTGGTGTCCTACCTGTACGTTAGAATACACGTCCCTCGACGTGAGGGAAACTTCGAGCTCGGCGCTGCCGTACGGGCACGTGGACCCGACGGAGGGCTGCCCCCGCAGCTGGCCACGTCGTCCCCGCGGGAGCTGCGCGCTCCCCGCCCCCGTGCGGCACGGCCCGGGGCGGGGCGGGAGGCGGCGGGCAGCGCGGAGCCGGGATCGGCCATGGGGAAGGTGCTGGCGGCGGCTCTGGTCGGGATAGCGGCGGCGCTGGCGGCGGAGCGGCTGCTGGCGTTCCGGTGAGCGCGGCGGGAACGGCGGGAGCGCAGCCGGGGCGCGGGGCGCCGCCGCGTGCCGCGTGCCCGCGAGGGGTCCGCCGCCTCGGGGTGTGCGGGCTGCCCGTTGGCCGAACGGGACGTGGGAATCGGGGCTGCGAGCAGCTGCTGCGCTGCGTCCTGCTGAGGCCGAGCTCTGGCTGATAGGCCGCGTGCTTGTGAGGTGCACCCCAAGTTGGAAGCTAGCTGTGCCCTCTGAGTTGAGCACCAGCGCTGAAACGAGTTCACCTGGGTGCTGAAGTACTTCGTTGCACGCCGGTGCATCATTATGATTAGGATCCAAATGCTGAAGGATGTGCATCCAGCTCCTGACAGGTCTGCAACCCCTGCAGCTGCTGGCAGTCAGGTAGAGGCAGGTCTCCCACTAAAAACAGGATCCCCCGACGCCTGCGGGTGGGTTTCCTGCACGCTGAGCTCTCAGCAGTATCTGTAGGGCCACCGGGGAGCTACTGGTATCCCTGGGACCACCTGGCTGGAAGGCAGGAACCCAGCACAGCCTTCTGCTGCTCGTTGAGTTTGGTATATTGTGCCATGGTACAGGAGTCCCTGAAGTGCTTCAAAGATCAGGCTTGAGGAATTGCTACAGATCCTACAGACCTCATTCTTCTTAAATCAGGTTTGTTTATACAGCTATTATCTCCCTAATAGGCCTCGAGTAAAGTTCCTGTGGCAGAAAAAGAAGTTATTGTGTGCTTCTGTCTAAAGTTACACAGATTCTCTTGCCGACATGCTGCAGCTGCTAACTGTTCCCCAGAGAAAGCTCTGATCAAATCTGTAAAAGTTGGACAGGAGTTGAGCTGGGTTGTGCTGGGTTACTGTTTTCCTCAGAAGAATATATGTAACTTGTTCATATACGCACACCGTGTTCCTACGTGTATACAGAAACAGTATGTATGTAATGGATATCTGTTGTTCACTGGCATGCACACACAGTGTTATCATGCCATGACACTCAGTACCGTGTACCCCCCAGCCTCTGTGCTGAAGCAACAGCGCGCTGCCAGAAAGACTCAGGCAGTTTGGAGGGAACTGGGAGCAAACCCAACAATTAGAGGGGATTTTCAGTCCTGTCAGGTAGGAAGGAAAGTTCTTGGGCTGCTTAGCCTAGAGAAAGGGAATAGTGAAAGAGAGGGCTTTGAATATGTGACGGGTCGCTGCTCAGGAGAGGGATTGCTGCTGTGTGCCTCAAAGTGGGTCGGGAGGCGGGGGGCTGGAGCTGGAGCAAGGAGAGGTGCCAGGCGCCGGGCTGCACCAAGAGGCAAACTCCTGTTTTCCTGAAGCTGTGTCCCCTGATCTGTGGGTCCGACATGTTTTCGGAAGGCCGGTCAGCTATCTAGGCCATCTGGCTCGGTAGCTAAAGCTGCGTGAGCTAGATAAACTGACACATTTCGAAAAAGCCTCTGTGTATGCTGCAGGCTTGTGACCAGTGTCCTTTCGAATTACTCTCATTCCAGTTCACAAAGTGTTTCCCTGAGAATGCCGTCGGGATATCATCATCTCCCCTCGGCTGCTGGCTGTGCTCCCGCTGTGCTTTTGGCACTGCGAGGCTTGCAGGCCACTGGGGAAGGGCTCCTGCAACAGCAGGAAGGCAGAAATCCCAAGAAAGCAGCAGTACGAATACAGGACATGATTGCCCTGAGCTGGGGCCTTGCTGTGCTGGGGACTGAGATCCCCCCTGGGTGCTGGGAGAGCTCCTGCAAGAGCTTTTCTTGGCTCCTTTCCCTTGCACTCCTGTGCCCTATTTGTCGTTTCTCCTGGCCTGATGGGAACAACTAATGAGGGCAGTTCTGACAGCGATGCTTCCTATTTCATTATATTGGCTCATGACATTAGAGGTGGATGTTGGTGGTCTGGCAGCTGAGGTTGAACCTTCCCACCAATACGCTATTACATGTTCTTGCCGTGTGACGGATGGCAGCACAGGGGCAGTCTGACACAGTGGCGTCTGACGTGGGAGTGTGTATGAAGTAAAGGTGTGACACTGACTTCTTCCATGCAGAAGGAATGGCACCTACTCATATTCACTGACACTTGGTGAGCGTTTATGGAGCCCCAGCAGTGAATGTGAGCACAATTGAGGTGTTTGGTGGTGCCTTTCAGCAGTGGTAACAGCAACATGGAAGACAAGCCACATTCTGGACAGCCATGCACGGCTGTCACACCACAAAATGAAGACTGTCTTGGTCATCTCATCCACACGAATCAGCTGACAACCAAGGAACAGTATATGGAGCTGAATATTAGTTTCAATGCTTTGGAAATGCTGGTGCAAGTGTTGGAATATCCCAAAGTTTGTGCCAGGTGGGTCCCATGAATTCTCACATAGGAACAGAAAGAACATATAAGTTTGTCAGGATCTGTTGAGCCAATACAAGGCTAAAAGTGACAGTTTTCTGGATCACATCATTACTAGTGATGAGATGTGAGCCACTATGAGCTGGAGTCAAAAAGTGTGCCATGGAGTGCCAACATGTGAATTTCCCATCAAAGAAAATGCTCAAGCTGCAGCCCTCGATGGTTAAAATGATGTGCACTCTCTTTCGAGGTAGGAAAGGGGCGATCCTTCTGGATTTCATGGAACCTGGAAAACCATCAGCTCTGACCGCTGCACTGTGATGCTGACTAAGCTAAAGGCTCCAGTTTCTAGAGTCTGGCCAGAGAAAAAACAATCATTCTCCTGTAATGCAGTAACACCATGCGCCGTTTCAATTTGAAGACCATGGGGCACACTGCCAGTCTTGGCTGGACTGTCCTACTACATGCACCGTATGGTCTGGTTCTGGTGCCTTCTGACTTCTGTCTGGCTGGGCCAGAGAAAGATGGACTGTGTGGGCAACATTTTCCTAGCAGAGACACCACCACAGTGGCTGTGGTACAGTGGGTCACTGCTGCTGGTGCAGATGTTTATGAGTATGCAGGCTCTTGTTCATTGCTGATGAAAATGCAGAGCTAGCGGTGGTGACTGCGTTGACAAACAATGTTATGTAGCTGAGAACATGTTCTATCAAATAGTGTTATTGTGCTCTTTGAATCTGTTGTAGCTTCTATGAAAATAAATAGGAGGCATTACTTTCAGAGCAACCTACCGATGATATAAATGTGGATAGATTTTGCCATGTTTGCCATGAGATCTTTGCATTCGGAATTTCCTGTATGTGGAGCACAGTATTAACATGTGTGCACAGACCGTATGCAAAGGAAGAGTAAATGTTAGTTTAAAAGCTTTCTTTTTTGCAAATAAAATCTAGGACACCGGTTTGACATTTTTACATAGGAACTCAACATGCATGCTTATGACACTGCATGCTACCATGGTGAAAGAGAGCAGTCCTGGTGGTGAGGGGCTTTTCATGTATTAACGTAGATGTAGTGCAGTGGTGGAGAGGAAGAGACAGAAATCTGTTTAAGTGCCTGTCTGTCAGTGCCTCATCCTTTAAGCATGACCTGGGGATCTGCAGGCGTACTGGAGAGGCCATAAATTGTGCCAGTAGAGGTTCAGGCTGCAAATTAGGAATAACTTCATCTCAGAAAGAGTGGTGAAGGGACTGGCATAAGGTGCCAAGGGAGGTAGGTGTCACTGTCCTTGGAGGTCTTCAGGAATGATGTAGATGTGGCACTGAGGGATGTGGTCAGTGGGCATGGTGGCGTGGGCTGGTGGTTGGAGTAGGTGATCTTAGAGGTCTTTTCCAACCTAAATGATGCCATGATACTACGAAATCAGAATGGCTGACAGGGAGTGCTGTGGGTGAAAGAAAAGGAGAAGGGACAAAGAAATTAATCCTGAAAGCTGTACTGCCAAGTTTTGCTTGTTGTTAGGATGTCAGCAGTCGTGCCTTGCAATAACACTGCTGCTGCTTTTTAATGCAGAATGATAAATGGAGAAGTGCAGGCACACTGGGAATGGCTGTGGGCTGGGGTGGGAGGCTGCCCTTTCCCACCCACAGTGCTGGTCCTGGCTGCAGGGTGCTGCTATACTTAATGGCTGAAACCTGAAGAGAGCGTGGCTGTCATTTTAACTGGGGTGGGTGGCATGAAATCACGAAAGCTTCATCTCGGGAAGCACGTAACCATTCCGGCTGTTTGGGGCACCATTGCCAGTTCTGGGTTTTGCTTGTTCAGTGTTTGATTCGTTGCTGAGTTATGGCAGGCAATAAAGCAGACACAGCCAGGAGCATTACCTGCTCGGCAGCAGCTGCGTGTTAACCTGTTAACCTGCTCTTTCCTCTTGCAGGAACAGACTCAATGCTACACGAGAAGTTGACCCTGTAGCCCTCCCGAATTGCCAGCTCATAAAAGGGATTGGTAGGTGCTCAGAGCCCCTGAGTCCGCTGCTTCTGTCTGGTCTTCTGAAACTCACTGCTAAAGGCAGCTTCTGAGCCTCAGCCCGAAGGCAATGTGTTATTTCGCTTGCTGGCACGCTTTCGTATTTTGCCAAGCAGACTTTCAGGTGGAGAAAAGCCACAGGAAGAAAATTATACTGAAAAATTCCTTTGGCACCCTTCTTTTTTCATTGGTATTTAATGCTTCAGTAAGTATATACGTATGTATTGAAGGGTCATACTTGTCGTCCCAGTCCGGTTTGTGAAGAGGTTCAACTGAGTGGCTGCAATGTTGACTTTGAACTCTAGGTCTTGTGTTTAGTGCATGGGAATGTTTCTGTCTTATTTTTTTTTTTCCTCCTTCAGTATAACCCGAGTGTCAAACGATTACCTTTAAACACACAATCTGACTCCCTTTCCCCTGGATCGCACTGTTTAAGCTTAGCAGAGGCTTATTGGTGGTTTTTTCCCCTCCTCTAGTGTTACATTCTACTGAAATTGCATGGATTTTGCATGGGTGAGGAGTCTTCAGGTGAGACTGCAGAGCCTCGCCTTTGAGCTTGCTGAGTCACCGTGTCATTTCATAAATCCTCATGTCAGAATCAAACATCTCTAAAGTCCAATTGCTGCAGTGAATAGCTGTGTGCAGAGTTCCTTCGCCTGAGGTTATGTGCGGGAGAAGTCATTAGAAATCGCCTTTGAAAAGATCTTTTCAAGTCTTCAAGACCGAGCTGTAATTTACTCATGCAGGACTCAGTCATGCTCGCTTGGTGATGATTCATACAAGAATCAGTCCTCAGTAATTCTTTTAAGCATATTGCTCTTTACTATTACTGTTGAAGTCTGTCAGGACTTTTGCAAAACGCTTGCACTGATGAGGAAAGAAGAGCTGGAAATCACAGCTATAGCTTTGTTTAATTTCCAAACAGTATCTTAACTTCTGTGCCTGACGTTTACATGGCAATCAGGTGGATTCTGAGCACCTGGCTTTCCATGGAGGCTGCAGCAGATTTATATACAGAGCCTCAGTTCTGTTCCTCCAAAGGAACTTTTTCACAGTGAGGATGACGGAGCGCTGGCACAGGCTGCTCAGGGAGGTTGTGGATTCTCCTTCTCTAGGGATATTCAAGACCTGCCTGGACCCCCACTTGTGCAGCCTGCTATAGGGGGCTGTTTTGCAGGTGGGGTTGGGCTTGATGATCTGTGGAGGTCCCTTCCAGCTCCTACAATTCAGTGATTCTGTGAACTGGGCCCTGAGCACTGAGCTTGCCCCTCACCTCAGCTTCCTTCTGTCACAGTATTCAAAATGTGAAGCTAACTTGGTCTATTTCTGGCAGAAATAGAAATAACAATTTTGCAAATGTCTTCCAAAATTCATTCCAGAAGAGTTATATTGCTAAGCCCTGTAAGCTGCAGCCCTAGCATCTAAGTGCTGCATAGGTAGTGCTGTTCAAACCAGGGCTTTTGCTGTACTCATATCTCTGAGTTTGTTCACACTTCGCATAAAGGTATTTTCCTGTGCATCTCAGTCCTCCTGGGCCTTTTCCCTTTAAAATGCGATGATACCATTGAATGAAGAGTCTGTCACTCTTTTAAATATTAATTATATGAATTAATATTAATAATATATTAATTTAAAATATTCCTTGTGGCCTCGTAAGTGGGGCACAGGTGATGAGCTGGATCAGCTCGGTGCAGAATGTTCTTCAGCTGCACATGAAAACAGGCAGCTGCTGCAGTTTGTCATAATTACTTTAAAAACGAGGCATCTGTGTTAAAGGAAGCAAACCTAGAGTAAATGGAATTCTCTAGTGGGCCCTTTTATTTCTGCACAATTTCATCCTTTCTCTTTCTTTTTGAAGACTTTGATCTGTTCTGCTTGTCAAATACTGTGCAATATAGGCAAGATGGAACAAACAAAAAAACTGCAGGTCATCCTAAACTTCACTCACAAATATGTGAAAAGGGCCACGTTTGTAGAATCAGCGCTACCTTCTGAATTCTGTGGGGGTCTAATCACATCACTAGTTTATAATAAACTAATGGTGTGTCCTGAAGCAATAGCTGAAGTTCCAGAAGTTGCTGCAGAACCTTCTGGAAATACTTGCATTTTGGAGAAATTCATGGGATATAGGCATGATACTCACTTCCTTTGGACACGAAACCCAGATATGGCTTTTGTCAACTGCATCAGCAGAAGACATTGTACTAAGATAAAATAAAGAGCAGAGTAAATCATGTTTCTAGCTTTCTAGGTCTGTTGAACTCTTCTTTAAAACCTATGTAGATAATGTGGTGAATAAGCCTCTGGTGTGGCACAATTGGGCATGATGAATCAGTTCCTCTCTCTTTTGCTGATCATGCCAATGAACACAGAGCCCTCCCACCACGGTCCCTTCTCCCTGCTGGAGCTGAACCACCAAACAAGCCAAGCTTTCCTGGCTCTTCCTGCCATGCTCCTCTTTCACATATGCCATGAGATGGCTGAGAAGTGCCCGAATTTGCTTTGCTCTGCAGTTTTCCTCTAAGCAGTAGTAAGTAGTTCAGGGCATTGCTCTCCCTTCGTTCCTCCCGAAAGTCCTCCAGACTTGTGCTTTCTAATTGTCCATTTCCAGTTAGCTCTCTCTTCTGTGAGCTGGTCTTTCTTTTTTTCTAGCAAGAACTGGCAATGCTGGAAGTGATCACCCACAGTTAAAAGCGTGGTCTGACTAAGACAGCCCTCAGCTGTTAATGATGGAGCAGGCTCTCTGTCACTCAAGAGCTTTAACTAAATATTTGCTTATAACACTTAACCAAGTGTCCCAGCTCGAGTGCAGGAGCCAGTGTGTGAAATTCAGTGGGCTGGCTTATGTGCACATAGGGGCTGAGCCCTAAAGTCCTGCCCTGGAAATCCTTTAATCCAGAGCCTGCGCAGAGCAGAGCTGCCAAAAGCAGGCCGGCTCGTTCTGCATCACACAGGGCATGTGGTGCTGGGGACATGTTAGCCTCCAAAAAGAAGTGATTCCGGAGCTGTTGCCTAACCTAGAGTGCTACTCTTGCTTTTAGTACTCTGCTGAATTTTTCTGCTGGGCTTTATCTATCAAGCAGCTGTATGAGACAGTGGCATTGTGTGAGCTGGAATTGTGCTCAGTAGGAGATTTTTCAGTGGGGAATGTTTTATGTCTTCTGACAGAAACTGTTTTATCTCTGTTTTGCAGAAACTGGTTCAGAAGACATTGACATCCTTCCTAATGGACTGGCTTTCATCAGCTCTGTAAGTATCCCTCTCTGTGCAGGGGCAGGCTCTGCCTGATCTGCAGAGGCAATAGGTGAAGCCTGCAAGATGGTCTCTTTAGTTCCTATGAGCCTGGATGTCAGCCCAGACCTGACTTGTGTTCACCAGTGTTTCCTTGCTTGAGCAAGTGCGCTCCTCAACACAACAGCGGTGGCTGCCGATCTCACATGTGTATCCCATTGCACTTGTGTAACCTTGAATTTCTTTCATGCTGCTTACTTGAAATGTTGAAATGTAAAACCTCTCCACTGTAGAAAAGGTGTGCTAACTCCTTATTGTCTTAAAATAAAAGCAAAACCAACACCACAGATTTTGTGTGGTGATTTTGTTGTTTCCGGTTGAGAGATTTTTTTGCTTCTAGGCTCTCTCTCAAACTTCTCTTTGTAATCAGGAAGAGAGGCCTACAAATTATTTTCTAAAACAGAAGCTGATTTTTTTTCATTTGTGTGCTCTGGGCACATCTGAATGTCTGTGTCAGAAGTGTGAGCTGCCCCAGCCCTGCCCTTCACCATGACTTTACCATGTTTCTGTTGGATGCATTTGGCTGTGCTGGTCTTCCAGTTCATTCCCCCAGGAGCATCTTTGCACGGGGTGGTTTGAAGCACAGGGAGAGTTTGAATAAACTGTGCTGCCCCACAGTGGTTGGGCGAAGGCCTTGGGCTCTGGCGTCTCCTGGTGCAGCAGTCTAAGCCCTGTACCTGGGGCTCTGCTCAGTGCTGGCCCATGGAGACAGCGTGGCCTGGCCAGGGATGCTTGGTATGGTGTTATGGCACCATGGTGGGGCTGATGGCACCTTGACGGTGGCTGTAGGATGCGAGGAGCTTGGAGGAGCAGCAGGAGAACTGTTCTGTTCCCACCTGGGAAGTACAGGAGCTGAGCCAGCACAGGGTAGGAGGCCTTGTCCATGTAGCATGGACCCCAGCTTGTTCCCTCTGTTCCATGGCCTCAGGGCTCACCAGAGACAGCAGAGCCTATCCCCCTGCTGCACTGCAGCTGGTGGCTGGAGCAGAAGGCAAATCTGGTGTGTGCTTGCAGACTCCCAACAGGGCTCCTGAATTTACAGTCATGCTGTGCTCCTCTTGCCTTTCAGCCGGAAATGATCTGCTTATGTTTTGGTTTTACAGGGTTTGAAATACCCAGGATTGAAGAGCTTTGCACCAGACAAGCCAGGTGAAATTTTTTTGATGGATTTGAATGAAAAAAAGCCAAAAGCATCTGAACTGAGAATCAGCCGTGGATTTGATTTAGGATCATTTACCCCTCATGGGATCAGCACTTACATAGACAAAGGTGAGGAGAACTTTAACCCATGATGGTAGTAAACCTCACTCTAAGGGCTACAAGCAGAAATCTCTCTGGGGCCTTGCATTACCCCCAGTAACCAACATACTGTGGGAGAGAAAACATTTTTCAGGCACTTGATCTTTTGAGGGTTTTTTTCTAAAGGTTGGCTGCTGAACCAAAAGCTTTTGCACATCAAAGGTCTCAAACTGTCCAAGACAGAAAGATGCACTCTATACTGAAAGGAAAGAAAGCATGGGAGATGTTTGAAAAGGCAAAAGCCATGTGAAGTTAATCTTGCCAGTTTACATCTGTCATCCTTGGGTTCAAGGGTCTCCAGGAGACACGTGCTTCACTGATAAGCAGTGGTCAGACAGCGGGGAGGCAGCAAGTGGCTGTCCATGACCACCCTTCTGTGCTGTCCTTCCTTTCTTTTCCCCTGTTGTTTCACTGGGGCTTCAAGTAAGTCAACTAGAAGTCCTGAATATGCTCAAAGAGAGCCATTCCTGCAGCTTCACTGGCTTCCCAAGGCAGGCACCCTTTAAGAGATGTTCCACTGGAGAAATTGATGGCCAATTTAGGGTCTCACCAGCACAGCTGGGTAAAGGTACTGCAGTATTACAGAGTAAAAGCGAAGGCTTGACTGCAGCTTTCTTGGGACACATGGTAAGTAAACCAAAGGGACCGAATTTGCTGGGGTTCTGCCCCTCCTTCCTAGCTGACTGTGGCTATATTCCATACAACCAGCCACTGTAAGGCATCAAGCTGTGAAATCCAATGGCCTGGGCACTCATAAAAAGCCTTTATTTTACTTCCATGTGGTAGAAACGCGGTAGTAAAAGTTTTGTTTACATGGCAATGCTCTGCAGCTGACCCATGTCAGTGGATAGATGGAGATCTGGATCCAGTTGCATTGGATCCTGCATTAGTTTGGTAATCATTCTGCCTCCAAAGAGCCAGGAGGGAAATGCACCAAATCCCAAACTGTTCCACACTACTGTTGCAGAGATCTAGTGCAATCCAGCTTTTTCCTTTTCCTTCTTTTAAGATGACACCGTGTACCTCTTTGTTGTGAATCATCCACACCAGAAGAGCACAGTAGAATTGTTTAAATTTATGGAAGAGGACAATTCTCTTGTACATCTAAAAACCATTCGACACGACCTTCTGACAAGGTATTGGAGCCAAAAGAACAAGCTTTTTTAGTGGAATCCAAAGTCGGATATTCTTGATTTTAGGGTGTTACTAACACAGGCTAATTTGTCTTTAACCAGATGTCTGGTTTCTCTTTTTAATGACTTTTTATCCATGCCATTAAAAATGGTATTCCTCCAGTCTCTTCTGTAGTGAGAATTTTAACAGTTGTATCGCTAAGTCAGTCTTAAGCTCCACTGTGATTGATGCCAGTGAATTAGCTGTTTGGCATCCTTTTCTTCTCTCATGTAACCCATTCTCAGTTCCCCACAGATAGGAATCTTCAGATACTCTTTTATTCTGAATTGTTATTTTGTAAAAGTAACCATACTTCTAGCTTTTTCTTTTCTCTCATTTCCTACAGAATTTTCTTGGTCTGTACTACTGCAAAATGACTGTAAGATAAAGGTAGCCTGAAAGATAAAGCTGTCACAACTCCTACTGGTTTTCTGGTTTCCAGCTGAACGTAATCAAAAGAGAAAAATTTCCATGGTCTTGTAAGCAGGTAGCCAGATTTCCTGTTTATGTCGTACCATCTTGTTCAGCTTTCAGCACTGCATAATTCTGGTGCATAAAAAAGGAACATAGAACTAAAAAGGGAGGCTCTAAACAACACAGTGATTGTCAAAGTTGTAATTTGATGTGAAAGCTGTAATTGCAGCCCCTTTGTGACCATGGATTGTCTGTGTTCTCGCTGGATTCTGTGCAGTCTTACAGTGCTTCTTCATACCCCTCATTTTGTTCTTTTCTTTTTCTCTTTTCTTTTTCAGTGTGAATGATGTAGTAGCTGTGGGGCCTGACAGCTTCTATGCTACCAATGACCACTACTTCTCTGACTTCATCTTGATGTTCTTGGAAATGTACTTGGGTTTAACTTGGTCAAATGTGGTTTACTACAGTCCAAAAGAAGTTAAAGAAGTGGCAGCTGGGTTTTATTCAGCCAATGGAATTAACATTTCACCCGACAAAAAGTAAGTTTCTTCTTGCCTCAGATTTTATTCAACCACACTTAAGAATCCCCAAGTCCTAGGTGGACAATAGGACCCTCTGTGGTCAGTGGCTGCCCTGGCTCATGAGAGGCAAGATGCTACCTGTAGAGCACAGGTGATGCAATGGGTTTGTAGAACAGAAGCCACATGTGTTTGTCTTTAGCTGCAGGCAGTGTTTGTTGTTCTGTATGGTGGTTTATACGCAATGAGAGCAAAGGCTTTGCATTCTAACCAGCTGGTACAGAAAGTCATGTGTGTTGTTTCCAAGGATTAACGGGGCAGGCTTTCTGAAAGTGAGGAAGGCTGTACAGTCCTACAGTCTGAACCCCCGTGTCTGAACCAGTCGTGTGGTTTAGACTAACTTAAATTTATTTAAAAAGGAAAAAAAAAAGATTTGGAGATATGATCCTTCGAGGCCTGCTTAGTAGAAGAACAGTGGAGCAGTGTTTCAGCGGGCTCAGTGCTCTCTGGCCTGCTTGACATTTCTGTTACTACACAAGGAGTATAAGGTGAAATTCCTTGCAGGAAGAGCTGGGCTTACACAAGAGGAACTGACTGTTTTTGGTGTTTGCTTACTTGTGCACATTGCTAAGAGGCGCTTTCTTTTGAAGGTACATCTATATTGCAGATATATTTGATCATAATGTCCATGTTATGGAAAAGCATGCTGATTGGAATTTAACCCATGTGAAGGTAAGGTGCTGCAGTTCCAGAGAAAAAAAGAAGCATATGTGAATTTTGGACAGAGTAGTCCCTATGATGCTTCCACTTTTCACCTGCTGGTTGGAACGGCTCTTGCCATGATGATCTTTAAGGTCTTTTCCAACTTGAGCAATTCTGTGATTCTATGACTCCTACTCCTTGCAGAGCTGTATGACTCCTACCAGCAGGTCCCGCCATCAGAGAAGGGTCTTGCAGGGGAAGTCTGCTCCAGGCAGCCTGGGTGTGTCCTCAGAGAACAGAAGTAACCAACATGAGCATGGTAGAAGGTGGAAAAATCTCAGAGCAGGCTTCCGGCATGGAGGAGGGGATAAAGTGGGCAGGGAAGGAAGAGATCGTTGAGGGAGAAAATAATGACATACAGTCAGGCTGGGTTATGTGAGATGAGAGTCTTGGATAGGTTTATTGTTTATGACTGATATTTAACTTCCAGGGCTTCTGACAGCTTTAACATCTCTCTTTTTCTTATTCTCTCTCTGTGCTGGACAGACGCTGCAGCTGGACACTCTTGCCGATAACTTGTCTGTTGATCCTGACACTGGGGATATCTGGACAGGATGTCATCCAAATGGGATGAAGCTATTCTTCGATGACCCAGATAACCCTCCTGCCTCTGAGGTGCCTTTTGGGAGATGTCTCTGGCTATCTCTGTGCCAGAAAGTGCCATTGTCCAAACCATCCTTGTGTAGCTTAGCTATGGGTTACAGAGAAAAGTGCCTGGACAGCCTCTGTGAAGGCAAAGACTGTGCTTGCTCCTGGCTGAGAGCTTCTGCTCTCACGTGGGAAACCTGAGTAGCACGTACTCAGTTTACAAACACCTATTTGGATCCTTAAGAGACAGCTGAATAATTCTCACATAGGAGTTCAGTCATTCCAGGCTCCTTAGGCTGCTTTCTGTGCAGCTGTGGCTGAGCAATCAGATTTTGATGGACTGTGTTAATTACTGAGCCAGCACCCCTGAGCCAAACCAAAGCAGCGCTGAGCGCAGAGCAGGGCCAGGAGCACTCTCTCTGGAACGAAGTGTGCAGGCGCAGTCCATCAGCAGGTGACATGCCGTGCTTCCTCCTCCTGGCATCGGTGAGGTGCTGGCAGCAGGGCGTGCAGGTGGCTGATTGTTGTGTTGTCCGAGGCTTCCCATGAGACACGAGTCAAAACGGTCCTCGTTCGTAGCTGTAGATTTATGATAGTGGGTGGCTGTTTACTCTGTCTTGAAAAAGATTGGAAATGAGAAGATGTTGAGTAGAAGGTGTTTTAGCCTGGAGGAAAACAGGTGCATTCCTCATGCTGGGGCAGCCTCTCGACTGCAGTGAATCCAAACAGCAGGTCTTCCTGGACCGTGCTTCCCTGAACCTGTGGTCCTATCACAGGAGCCACGTGGTGAAGTCATCATGGTTAGCAGCAGCAGATGATGCTCGTTTGTTTAAATTACCATCCTGATGTGCCCTCTGCCTATAGTAGGTTTCAGTATCTGTGTCCCTGGCAGGTCCTGCGCATCCAGAACATCCTGGCAGAGCAGCCCACGGTGACGCGTGTCTATGCTGAGAATGGCTCCGTGCTGCAGGGGACCTCGGTGGCAACAGTCTACAACAGGAAACTGCTCATTGGCACAGTCTTCCACAGAGCCCTGTACTGTGAGCTATAGCTGTCCTGGTAAGGCCTCACAGGGAGCACAGGTGGGCACTTTGCCGCAATACACTGCAAAGTGAGCCCCAGCTCAGGCTGCCCAGGGCCCCATCCAACCTGACCTCGAGCACCTCCAGGGATGGGGCTTCCACAGCTCTCTGGGCAGCAGTGCCACTTGAGGCTTGTGTCACTATTTGTTCTCACTATTTGTTCTCCAGCAGATTAAGTGCTTTGTAATAAAGAGATCACGTCCTGAACCAGAGCTGCTAACACAGCTGAAGCGCTCCCTGTGCTGGGACTGCATTTACTTTGTGGCTGTCTAACAGCCAGCATTTCCCTCAGCATTGTTGCGAACAGCTGATCAAAGATATACTTCACCTTTGCCAGCAGTGTGGAGCATCTCCAGGTGTAAACCAACAAATTGCTGGGGCTTGTCACACTCCTTTTGTTTTGGGCCATTCACAAAATGAGGAGTGTGTTCTCTCATGGCTGTTAACTATTCCCTTGCAGCAGGTTTTTGTAGCAGCCTGCCTACAGGTAGAGGCACAGCAAGGACATGAGCGTAACGCCTCCAGTCTCAGGATGCTGCTGAGCAGACACATTTTACATGTCAGTTTTGGACTTCCAGACACTTAACACTTCAGTGCATCTGTTTTAATTAAGTTCTTGCTTATGGGTTGGGGCTGCTCTTACACCCTGCAGGTGTTGTTTGTGTCAGTGGAAGGAAGCATCAGTGATGTGGCTGCTGGGCAGCCCAGCTGAGGCCCCAAGGCTTCCCATCCTGTGCTGAGCTCCTGGCCGGGGTTCTGCCAGGGGTGAAGCCAGCAAGAGACCGACAGAGCAGACACTGTGTGTCCCCTTCCCTAATTTAATGCTTTACTAATAGAGAATCAATAAAGAAAAAAGATAGATTACTGTGTTGAGCAGGTGAACTGCTGTGCTTTGAATGTGTGAAACGCTCATTACAGCTAAACTACACTTCCGTGTAAAATATGAAAGCAGCTTTTAGAACAACAAACGTTGACCAGCATCAGTGTGAGAGCAGCCAACCTGGACAACAGCCTGCAGCAAAACTGTGCTGTGTTCCATCTGCTTACCGAGAAAAAAAAGTCATTCTCTTTCCTTACCCTGTATATATTTATATTTACTTCTTTTTGCATCACTGCAGACCGTAAATGAGATCCAGTCTGAGGCCCAGGAGCCACACTTTGGCCAACAGCTGGGATCAGAACAACACAGAAGGAAGGAGAGGACAAATGCCGTGTTACCATTTATTACTTCTGGAATGACCAACGAATGGGCAGGAAAGTGAGGACTCGATACAAATTCTAATAAAGATTCAGGATTTCTCATTTTATTGCATTCGTTGTCTAACAACAATAATACTCATTGGCAAGAAATTTATTTACACTAACAAATTAACTTCAAACCACGAGGCTTTGTTGTTTATATTTAAACTGTAAGAAAACAAAGGGCCACCATGATGTTTTGTTTTGATGTCTCCAAATAACTAAACATTAAAGAAAATCATCTGGGGGAAAACTCAACGATCTAGAGAAATTCCTATTGACTAAAGCACAAGGGGACAAGCTCAGACATGGCACTACCGCGTCCTTCATGCAGATGATTCGACACCAAGATGTACAAACAGAAAGCTCAGGGTTAAACATGCACTTCATATACATTTGACCTCTTTAAAAAAACAACCGAAAAAGGAAAAAATGTGAAGCGCAACCACCTCTTCAACCATATAAAAAGGAACAACATTACAAAGCCAATTTCTACAGTGAGCACAGTGCATTTTAGTCTTTTAGCTGCCTGGTCTTCTAGCAGTACGTACACCGGTGGGTGAGCATTGCAGCGTGGTCGGAAGATACAAAAGCAGCAATTCAGACACTCCATGTGTGCAGGGAAGTCCAAGGGCAGAGGAGCGATCCACGGTCAGCGGTGACCCTGGGGGAAGTCACTCACAGCCCACTCAGAAATGAGCTGCCCAAAGAGCTCCAGCACAAATCAGGCTTATAAAGTGTAAGAATGGGCTTTTCTTCCCGGAATACCAACAGTGCAGTACACCAACCCTGCCAAGCCTTCCCCCACCTAAAAACCAGCACGAGGACATCACGCAGGAAGACCCACCGGAAAACACTCCAGGTTTTAACAGAACTTTTAACACTTTGGGAGCCACAAAATGCACAAGGCTCCGCAAGCAGAGCAAAGCCGATGTGCCGGCTCCATGCCCACAGCCTGCAGCAGCCCACCTGCTGCTGCTGAGCAGAGGTGCTGAGGTGCACACATCCATGTGCACAGACACGTCCATGTGCACAGACGCACACAGACTCACGCCTGTTCATTTCAAGAGGACCCAAGTCACAGTCACTTGGCCTCTTCATTTCTGAGCCACTTCATTATTTTCTGTTGTTAACAAACTCTGAAAGGACCCATCCAACTGCCGCCTGCACTCAGCTGGTAAAGACTTCCAAGTTCATTAAGCGTGTGCCTGCTTTTATCATTTTTTTTTTTTCCCAGTGTTCTGGCTCACAGCTTTGGTTTCCTGAGGTTTTAAATGAGGGAAGCATGGGAGGAGGGAATTGCTACAGAAAGGGTCCAGCCTCTCTGCCACTTGGACGACATTGCAGGGGAAGAGGCCACGCCTCAAAAAAACAAAATCAGGTTTTCCTTTCTGACAGTAGTTTTCCACCGTAAACATGTGGCTAAATAATTAATACATGATTTAATTCCTGCAAACTTCCCTTAAACTTCAGCACTGAGAAACAGCACAGACCACACTGCAGAGCCTTCCAAGACCCACAGCTGGCTATATGCAAAGCGTTTCTTTTGCTTTTCAATGCTGGGGTGACACAGTGTCACCCACCTCTTATTTGCCAGCACACGAGCAGCTCAGAGGTGGAGCAGCTTGAGAGGCAGGAGGCTTAGATGAAAGCAAGCAGCTGGAGTGTTAGAAATCCTGATGCTAGGTGAATGCTAATGAGAGCGGAAGACAGGCAAACCTCAGAGTTGCCCGCTCAGTAATTCCTGTAAAACCTGGATCCTTGCAGTATCCCTGCAGCAGACCAGAGTCATGGCACAACAGATGCCTTTGCAAAAGGAATCAAAACTAAACCAGATTTGCATACGCTGAGATACAAACATCACCTAATTCTTTTCAGCTTCTCAGTAATGGCTGCTGGTCTGCTAGACAACTGTAGCCCATGAGGTAGAATAGGCTCTACCAACAGTGAGCACCACCACTCCTGCTGGAACCACTGGGAAAAGTACATGCAGTGGCAAGCAGTGCTCTGTGCACTAAACACATACCAGCCTGAGCTCCTTCCTCATGCCTGGTCCTGGTCCACCCAGGCAGATGGAAACCTCACTGGGAGCTGTAACTCATGTCACACAGGGGAAAACACAAGCTGGAAGAGAGATCCAGAGACCTGGATAGAGCAAAGAGCCACTGCGCTCCCCCAATACCTCAGTGCAAGACTTCAGGACTCCAGTAACCTGCCATGCTGCAAGCACTTTCTGCTTTTCCAAGCTTCAGTAGCTCTCCCTTCTCCTCTGTGGGCTAAGCCTGCACTCTAACACAAGCCGCAAGCACAGTGTGTGCATGCAGGCAGATGGGCACCACCATGGCAATAGGAGCAAACCAGAAGCATCCCTGTGCTGCCCCAGCAGCAGTCACCTTCTGCCAGCCGTGGGCAGCTGGGCATGGAGCAGGCGCAGGCATTGCAGAGGCATGGAACCACCGAGCTGCCTGCACAGCGCTCTGTCAGCACATCCAGCACTGCAAGAATGATGCAAAAATGGGCTACAGATACTCCTGCAGGTGAGCCAAGAGAAAGTCTCTGCAGTCATTTAGGGTGGACTTCTGCGTTTCTTATTACATACGCACACAAAACCATTAGTCTGACTTAGCATTGGTTTACAGGAAATTTAAATTCACCACGATGAGACAACTTCATCTTCTGTTTCATAGATGCCGTTACACAATAAAAGGGGAAGAAATGCCACACAACTTTAAACATCCTATAGAACAGCAAGAGAGGTTTCAGACCGCACTGCTCTGTATGTCTGTAGTCCAGCACATTTGTCTGTGCCCCGAAAATGTGATCATAATAAAAGGAACCGTATAAATCTCTTTTATCACAGGAAGAGGAGCGAACTCCTGACATTGCTTGGTTTGTTCTGTTTCCATGTGTTGATCAATATGCATTTTATGGTTTTATTTTAACTTTAAGCTACTGCTTTTTAATTTTATTTTTTTAATCGGAGACTAACGAAGTACCATTACCACATAGCAATAAAAAACACACAAAGACTGTAAGGATTTCAGTAGGTCAAATTAGTTATTCTGCAGACTAAGAACCTGATTTACAAACAGATTAACGAGGCACTTTTCTAAGCTGCAAGAATGAAAACTCAACATATAATGCCAAGCAGCCTGCTCAGGTTCCTAGGAACACAGACAACATAAAGCAGGGACACCACCTCAGATTACTGCATACAACCACTTAAACATTACTATAATGTAAACACAACTTAAAGACATCAAATGCATTTTATCAACATTGTATTTAAAATATGAAATTTCCAGTTTCTTCCAGATAACTTCTCTCACTTGAGTACAAATTTATAACCTCCTCAGATGACAGAACGCTACTTCTATCAGGCTGTTAAAACTTTTGTGTATTTTTTTTTCCAACAGAGAGTGCACAAATATTCACTCCAATGTGGAATTCTTGTTAGCACGTCTATTTTTGCCTGTGGTCTATCTCAAGAAAAATATCAGAAGCCATTAGAAATATTAGAAAGTATCTCTGATGCTAGTTTCGTTCTTATGTTTGAGTAAAATATACATCAGAAACTTGTAGAAATTGGATTTAGAAGCAAAAACTAAGGTAAGACTAAGTAGATATGCTATGTAGTAGCTTTGAATGCAGTAGGCTCTGTCAGTGTACAGGCCATTCTACACATCAAAGAAATGATTATGATCAAAGACATTTAACTCTAAACATTGCACCTGAACTGTTTCAAATCTGAATTTCAGAGAACTTGACAGGCAAATCTGAATGTCATAAAGTACAGAGCAAGAGAGAAGCCAAGCCAAACTAAAACAAACATTTTCTTCCAAGGAATTCAACGTTGGCAAATTTGAAGTTCAAGTTTCTACCTTTGCATCAACATCTTAAACAATTTCCATGGTAGCACGACTGGCCAGATGAAGGCTGCAACTTTCAGGATGCACAAACAGAAAGTGATGTTTCTCAAATACAAATGCTGCTGCATAGTTAGCTCTGATTAAAAGCGGTAATGTAACACCTCCTGTTTCCTGTGGTGGATATTTGCCACTTGTCTTTTCATTCTTTAGAAGAAATGCTGAATATTTTAATATCACTCTTAAGAGGCAGTAACATCACCCAGTGCGAGTTATGCTCTGCTTCTGTCACAGTCAGAACTATTCAGCAGGCTTCGCCAATGGACTTAACAAGCTGGGAGAACAGGAATCTCTAGCATATGTAACAAGACTGTTAAACCATCCAATTGTTCTGCAGCCCATGCCTATAAATTCAGGTTTTAGTAGAGATATTCTTTCAACACATCAATCAAAACAGTTAATAGATGGCAGCTTTGGATTTAGTAACTTTCGCCTCCAAGGCAGCACTGATCTTAGAAGCAACGTACTGAATTCAATCCTAACCAGAATCCCTCTTCTTCCTCTGCTTAAAGTGCACTTCTGTAAAAACTGAAAGTCTTCAGCAGACTCAACTTTGATAATCGTTTCCAATGACAGCTTCCTAACAGCACAGCACAAAACATACACTTCCAGTGCTTACTGGAGAACGCATCTGAAGATGTGTTTTTCTTGGAAAAAAAAAAATACAAAACAAAACAAAACAAGCCCAGTTTCCTGTTCAAAATACATGAAAAAGAAAGCACAGTGTGCTATAAGAAAGTTACCTACGCACTGGGAGCACAAAGAAATTTATACAGATCTATACGCTGTGCTCTAGATAGAAATTCATCCTTGCTCAGATATCTAAAGGATAAATGTTATCCTCAGATTTCTGTGTAAACCCACGTAATCGTTTAAGGCTTTGCCTCCTTCCTGGATTAACTACTGTACAGTTAACAGAAAGAGTTCCACCTCCTGTCTTTTACCCAGGGGGGATATCCACTCTCCTGTCTTTATCTCCAGTGTATATTAAGCAGTCACAGAACAGTTGTGTTTCCAGAGCAGTGTCACTTCAACGTACTGTTGCAAGATGAAACTTACTCCAGTAGACAGAATTGAGTATCAAAGCGCAAATTCCAGTTAGAAAGTTAAGTAAGTCATCTTTCAGACAGAGAAAAT